TATGTATGTATGTAGGTATGTATGTTTGCTTGCTTGCTTGTTGTATGTTTGTATGTTTGTATGTTTGTATGTACATATGTATAGGTATGAGGACTCGACTCGTCCGCACGGAAACACTTTGCAGGCAGCGAGACGATCTACTTCTGGGTGTAAGGGTCCAAGCTGCGAGCTATCAATGCTGGATATGATCGATGCTGCATCCTTGCAATGAATCTCGAGTTCTGCAAGTGAAGCTTCCAAAATTATCTTCAAGAGCTACGTATCAGACTGCAGTCCACACGACGCACAAGCATGCTTGTGACGAATTGCTGGATCATGTTGTCGATCCAGCTTTGCCATGCAACACAGCTGGCTCGAAAATCCAGACCAGGGATTCCACGGAGCGATGACTTCTTCCCGGCTGCAAACAGGCATGCCAGAGAACTCACCCCGACCGCTACAATTGTAACGGTCCCACCCTCCATCCTTCAGAAATCTCTCGCCCGAACATGGACCGAAAAGAAAGTGCTGCCGCAAACTGATGCAGTATTTTGCATGTAGACAGCAGGGTTTCTTCAAAGACGCCAGCCTCAGCAAGCAGATTTTGTGTCACGGCTGTTTGAGCGCCTGCGCATTGCAATGTTCAGGCCGACACTGTTCGGGACCGAAGGTCCTTCATGTGAACCTTCAGCTTTTGCCAGCCGAGCCAAGGCTGAACTGCAGGTTTCCCTAACTCTTTGTGAAGTGAAACCCAGAAGCTGAGACTGCTGGCTTTGCCTACGACTTCATGAGGTGACTGTTGTGCCGAGGACGCCGCGACATAGCCATGCTGATGATCATCAGCTCGGGGTCAGCCTTGGAGCAGTTCCTTTGCGGACTCCTGCGCCGGCAGCCGCGGCAGTCTTCGCTGCTTTCAGCAAAAGCAGCGCAAGCCCGAGCCCCAATGCACCAGCATACACCCCGACATCCCTGCCTTTTCCGCAAGCTCCGGTTGTCCTCCCCTTCACCACCAATCTGCAGCAGCATGCAGCACGGTTGCCACACAAAACACACTTTTCCGTGCGACAGTCTGAAGCTCAGATCCATGCCAGAAGCGTCGGATTATTGGGGCGTCGGCGTGAAACCTCACATGCGAACCCCGAGTTTAGACCTGCATGACCTGGGCAACCTCCAGAGTCATGTCGCAGACAGTGGCTACTTCTTGCTTCGTTCAGCTATGTTCAGCTGCCGGCAAGCTGCCTTGGGTGATTTATCAACCTTTTCCTCGATGTCGATCGGCACCGTCACGGCTGCTCGTTCATCTTCCGGCTTCGTCACGACAGTATGGGCCTGCGAGTCTGCAGTGAAAGCACCACGGCACCGCCAACAGCGCCAAAGCCTGCCTCACTGTTCAAGCAAGCTTCCGTGAGAGACCACTCTTGACCTCGGAAGAGGCTGCTAACACGAGGATATGCTGCACACAATGAAGTTATAGCTACCGTCCATGCTATTCGTCTATAGCAACACACGGATCCCGACATGTCCTACATTCTGGGCTCAGCAGAAACTAACACATCAAGCATGCCTCCGCAAAAACTCTTATGTGCAAGGCAGCCAGGTAGGGCAGATTCACTTCCATGACATGAGGCTATAATGATTGCCGCTGGGTCCGGGGCCCATGGTGCCGCTCACAAGGGTCAGGTCAAGCGCTTCTGACTGTAAGCCGGAAGGCAACGGAGAAGCCCGCAGAGCTGTGGACGTGCTGATAATGGTGGTGATGGCGGTGGTAGTAGCAGTAGCAGTAGCAGTAGCAGCAGCAGCAGCAGCAGCAGCAGCAGTAGTAGCAGCAGCAGCAGCAGGAGTAGTAGTAGCAGAAGTAGTAGTAGTAGTAGTAGTAGCAGGAGAAGTAGGCAGCAGCAGCAGTAGTAGTAGAAGCAGTAGTAGTAGCAGTAGTAGTAGGGGTAGGGGTAGTGGTAGTAGTAGTTGTTGTGGTAGTAGTAGTCGTAGTAGTAGTCGTAGTAGTAGTAGTGGTAGTTATAGTATTATAGCAGTAGTAGCAGTAGTAGTAGTAGTAGTAGTAGTGGTAGTAGTAGTAGTAGTAGTAGTAGTGGTAGTAGTGGTAGTAGTAGTGGTAGTGGTAGTAGTAGTTGTTGTTGTAGCAGTAATAGTAGCACTAGCAGCAGTAGCAGCAGCAGCAGCAGTAGAAGAAGAAGTAGCAGTAGCAATAGTAATCGCTGTCGTCGTCGTAGCAGCAGCAGCAGCAGCAGCAGCAGCAGAAGCAGCAGTAGCAGCAGCAGCGGCAGCAGCAGCAGCAGGAGCAGCAGCAGTAGCAGGAGCAGCAGGAGCAGCAGCAGTAGTCGCAGTCGCAGTCGCAGTCGCAGTCGCAGGCGCGGCGCAGGCGCAGGCGCAGTGGCAGTCACAGACGAAGTCGTCATGGCGTCGTCATCGTCGTCGTCGGAGCAGCAGTGGTCGTAGTAGTAGTCGAAGTGGCAGTCGCAGCAGTACATTTGGTAGCGGTACTAGTAGATGGATGATGAACATGAGCAGCAGTACGTGAGCGAGCATGAGCATTTCTTGTGCCAAAAGCTTTGAGAAAAGTCTTCATAGAACCGCTGGTGAGATTCTATAAGGGATCCGTCAGGATCGGTTGACTGGCTGAAGCATGAGCTCCTCTCCCTCTTGGCACAGCAAGTCGTGGTCGATCAGGAGATGGCTAAAAATCTCCTGGGCTCCAGGGCCCAGCTGGCAAGCGCTTGCCCTGCGCTGAACGAACTGAAACACTGCAAAGATCTAGACAGTTTGTACAGAGATTAGGACACACGAAACTTTGAACTCCTGTTGGAAGACGAGCTAGATCCTGAAGCGATTCTATAACGCTCTAGACCGGAAGCGCAGTACTGCTCTGAACTGGCTTCTGTCAGCACCGCAGATAGTGCAGATAGTCTTACTTGTAGGGTTTAATGGCAGTCCTGGAAGTTGCTCGCCGATCCAAGCACCTGCGAACTTGTTGAAGGGTCCCAAGTGCCAAAAGCCAGGGCTGCGGAAGAGATCTGGGCCGGAACCCTGGCCTAAGGTCTTGACGGCAAGGGTTGCACTGCTTTTTTTGGGGGTCCTTTCTTCCAGAAGGTCCTATTCCCTGGAGTGAGTGAGCAGCGGATCCAGAGAACTAATGTAATCGCTGATGGAGTGCAAGTCTTGTGCCAGCACCTGCCGCGCGTCCAGGATTGCGGAGACCTTTGCTCAGGGCTCGAAACACGGTGCAGGGTTCAGCTGCAGAAGTAGCAGCTCCCTCCCAGCCCAAGCCTTCGGGGGATCCATCACTCGCAGTTCATGCTCGATGTTCGTAAACAGGTGGCTGTGCAATTCAGAAGTGCTTATGTCCATGCCTGCCAATGCCAGGAGAAGGACCAGCAGCAGCAGCAGCCGCCGCAGTAGCGGCGGTAGCAGTAGCAGTAGCAGCGGCAGTAGCAGGAGTAGCAACAGCTGCAGCAGCAGCAGGAGAAAGAGCAGGAGGAGTAGTAGTAGTAGTAGTAGCAGTAGCAGCAGCAGCAGCAGCAGCAGCAGCAGCACCACCAGGAGCAGTGGCATCAAATGAGCAGGGGAGTAGCAGTGGCAATGGTGGTTCTGCATCCTCACAGAATTCTGACCCGGATACTAGTAGCTGGTCAAGAGCAGACTTCTCTACAAGACTCCACAACGAAGATTCGTGCAACCAGTTGTGTAGCAAGTTACGTATAGAGTTTGAGGGCCTTAGAAGCTTTAGGGCTTCTAACCAACCTGCAAGCAGGATCAACATGTTTGCTGGGGCGGGCACTCTGGCCGCATCGGCTGAGGCATTGTCAGTGTCGAAAACTGCCTAAGACCAACTGTGCCAACAAGATGTCAGCACCCTTACCAAATGTACCCCGCTTGTGTTGTATCCGTTTTGCCAAAACCAAGCAGACTGAAAAGGCGTGGTCCATCTAGTCTTTCTGAGGCCGGGAGCTGGAAGTCGCGCTGCTTCCTGAACCGGTTTGGAGCACATCGGTCAGCGGAAGATCACTCTCGCTGCGCTCTCCTCTGCTTGCGGCCGATCCTGTGGCCTGAGACGTTTGGCACAACAGGCTTTGCTCGAGGAGCTACAAGGCTCTACTGCATTAGGCTTAATGGGTCCATTGGCTCGGAACCAGGACTTTTGTCAGTCGTGATAAGTCGCCGGAGCACATGTCACACTGGGTCGTCGACGTTTCGTGGTCACTCATTGTTGGAGCTCCTTTCAAGATGCTGCAACAAGTACAGCTAGCGGTACCGGGTACAGAGAACCATCGATGATCATCGAAGCTTGACGGGTCTTCTACCCAAAACAGCTAGACTCTATAGTAAATTCAATAAGCCGGAGAAACACAAGGAGGCAAGGAGTCAGGCACATTGCCGGACAGCGGTGGAGTTCGGCCAAGCCAGGGGCCTTCTTCCCCATCCTTTGGATCCTGAAGTGGCACAGACTTGAAAGTGAGGCGCAGAGATGCCTTTTTTCCACTCAAAGACCGGCACACTCACCAATCATCTCATCGTGTCTATCCTTTTCATGCTTGGATGTATGTGACTGGTCTTAATTTCAACTCCTACTCGCGACCTTGAGACCATCAATTAATCCGCCGAGGACCCCGCCCTCCCAGCAGCCTTCCCCCTCCCTCCCCGCTCTCCGCCCCTGCTTCCCCCCCTCCACCCCCTCCCCCCTCCTCCCTTCTCTTTCAGCGAAACAGAGACCAAACTCCTCCCTGCAGCCCAAAAGTCCCCCCCGCTTCCTCCGCGTCTCCCCCCCCCCCTCCCGCCCCATCCACCCCTCCCCTCCTTCTGCTACAGCATGATGCAGCTACTAGACTAGTACTACTAGTGCAGTCACTGCTCCTGCTACAGCAACAACTAGTACTACGCACAACTTCTGCTTCCAGTCCTGCTGCTGCTACTGCTGCTGCTGCTCCTACTACTACTACTACTACGACGACGACGACTACTACTACTAGTGCTACCACGAGTGCTCCTCCTCCTGCTGCTGCAGCTGGTGCTACTCCTGCTACTGCTACTGCTACAGCTACAGCTACTGCTACTGCCACTGCTCCTCCTCCTCCTCCTGCTACTACTACTACTACTACTACTACTACTACTACGACTGCTCCTACTACTACTACTACTACCACCACTACTACACTACTACACTACTACAACACTACTACTACTACTACTACTACTACTACTACTACTACTACTACTCCTACACGTACTCCTACTCCTACTCCTACTCCTACTCCTACTCCTACTGCTACTGCTCCTGCTCCTGCTCCTGCTCCTGCTCCTGCTCCTGCTCCTGCTCCTGCTCCTGCTCCTGCTCCTGCTCCTGCTGCTGCGGCTGCTACTGCTACT